CCGTGCATGCTAATATCTAGTAACCCTGTGAGGCAGTAGGTCTCTTGCCCCAGGATAGCCCCGTGCATGCTAATATCTAGTAACCCTGTGAGCCGGTAGGTCTCTTGCCCCAGAATAGCCCTGTGCATGCTAATATCTAGTAACCCTGTGAGCCGGTAGGTCTCTTGCCTCAGAATAGCCCTGTGCATGCTAATATCTAGTAACCCTGTGATCCAGTAGGTTTCTTGCCCCAGGATAGCCCTGTGCATGCTAATATCTAGTAACCCTGTGAGCCAGTAGGTTTCTTGCCCCAGGATAGACCCGTGCATGCTAATATCTAGTGACCCTGTGAGCCGGTAGGTCTCTTGCCCCAGAATAGCCCCGTGCATGCTAATATCTAGTGACCCTGTGAGCCGGTAGGTCACTTGCCCCAGAATAGCCCCGTGCATGCTAATATCTAGTGACCCTGTGAGCCAGTAGGTTTCTTGCCCCAGGATAGCCCCGTGCATGCTAATATCTAGTGACCCTGTGAGCCGGTAGGTCTCTTGCCCCAGGATAGCCCCGTGCATGCTAATATCTAGTGACCCTGTGAGCCGGTAGGTCTCTTGCCCCAGGATAGCCCCTAGATATTAGCATGCTAATATCTAGTAACCCTGTGAGCCGGTAGGTCTCTTGCCCCAGGATAGACCCGTGCATGCTAATATCTAGTAACCCTGTGAGCCGGTAGGTCTCTTGCCCCAGGATAGACCCGTGCATGCTAATATCTAGTAACCCTGTGAGCGGTGGGACTCTTGCCCCAGGATAGCCCGGTGCATGCTTCAATATCTAGTAACCCTGTGAGCGGTAGGTCTCTTGCCCAAGGATAGACCGTGCATGCTAATATCCACAGTAACCCTGTGATCCGGTGGGACTCTTGCCCCAGGATAGCCCACGTGCATGCTAATATCTAGTAACCCTGTGAGGCGGTGGGTCTCCTTTGCAATAAACCGTGCATGCTAATATCTTGTCTTTGCCCAGAATAGTCCCATGCGTACTAGTATCTAGTGAGCGGTGGGTCTCTTGCCCCAGAATAGCCCGTGCATGCTAATATCTTGTAACTTTGCCCCAGAATAGTCCCATGCATGCTAATATCTAGTGAGCCGGTAGGTCTCTTGCCCCAGAATAGCCCCGTGCATGCTAATATCTTGTAACTTTGCCCCAGAATAGTCCCATGCATGCTAATATCTAGTAACCCTGTGAGCCGGTAGAACTCTTGCCCCAGAATAGCCCCGTGCATGCTAATATCTTGTAACTTTGCCCCAGAATAGTCCCATGCATGCTAATATCTAGTAACCCTGTGAGCCGGTAGGTCTCTTGACCCAGAATAGCCCTGTGCATGCTAATATCTAGTAACCCTGTGAGACGGTAGCTCTCTTGACCCAGAATAGCCCCGTGCATGCTAATATCTTGTAACTTTGCCCCAGCCAGAATAGTCCCATGCATGCTAATATCTAGTAACCCTGTGAGCCAGTAGGACTCTTGCCCCAGAATATCTTGTAACTTTGCCCCAGAATAGTCCCATGTATGCTAATATCTAGTAACCCTGTGAGCCGGTAGGTCTCTTGCCCCAGAATAGCTCTGTGCATGCTAATATCTTGTAACTTTGCCCCAGAATAGTCCCATGCATGCTAATATCTAGTGAGCCGGTAGGTCTCTTGCCACAGAATAGCCCCGTGCATGCTAATATCTTGTAACTTTGCCCCAGCCAGAATAGTCCCATGCATGCTAATATCTAGTAACACTGTGAGCTGGTAGGTCTCTTGCCCCAGAATAGCCCTGTGCATGCTAATATCTTGTAACTTTGCCCCAGAATAGTCCCATGCATGCTAATATCTAGTAACCCTGGGAGCCGGTAGGACTCTTGCCCCAGAATAGTCCCATGCATGCTAATATCTAGTAACCCTGGGAGCCGGTAGGACTCTTGCCCCAGAATAGTCCAATGCATGCTAATATCTAGTAACCCTGTGAGCCGGTAGGTCTCTTGCCCCAGAATAGCTCTGTGCATGTTAATATCTAGTAACCCTGTGAGCCAGTAGGTCTCTTGCCCCAGAATAGCTCTGTGCATGCTAATATCTAGTAACCCTGTGAGCCGGTAGGTCTCTTGCCCCAGGATAGACCCGTGCATGCTAATATCTAGTAACCCTGTGATCCGGTAGGACTCTTGCCCCAGGATAGCCCCGTGCATGCTAATATCTAGTAACCCTGTGAGCCGGTAGGTCTCTTGCCCCAGGATAAACCTGTGCATGCTAATATCTAGTAACCCTGTGAGCCGGTAGGTCTCTTGCCCCAGTATAGCCCCGTGCATGCTAATATCTAGTAACCCTGTGAGCCGGTAGGTCTCTTGCCCCAGGATAGCCCCGTGCATGCTAATATCTAGTAACCCTGTGAGCCGGTAGGACTCTTGCCCCAGGATAGCCCCGTGCATGCTAATATCTAGTAACCCTGTGAGCCGGTAGGTTTCTTGCCCCAGGATAGACCCGTGCATGCTAATATCTAGTAACCCTGTGAGCCAGTAGGTTTCTTGCCCCAGGATAGCCCCGTGCATGCTAATATCTAGTAACCCTGTGAGCCGGTAGGTCTCTTGCCCCAGGATAGACCCGTGCATGCTAATATCTAGTAACCCTGTGAGCCGGTAGGTCTCTTGCCCCAGAATAGCCCCGTGCATGCTAATATCTAGTAACCCTGTGAGCCGGTAGGTCTCTTGACCCAGAATAGCCCTGTGCATGCTAATATCTAGTAACCCTGTGAGCCGGTAGGTTTCTTGCCCCAGAATAGCCCCGTGCATGCTAATATCTAGTAACCCTGTGAGCCGGTAGCTCTCTTGACCCAGAATAGCCCCGTGCATGCTAATATCTTGTAACTTTGCCCCAGAATAGTCCCATGCATGCTAATATCTAGTGAGCCGGTAGGTCTCTTGCCCCAGAATAGCCCCGTGCATGCTAATATCTTGTAACTTTGCCCCAGAATAGTCCCATGCATGCTAATATCTAGTAACCCTGG